GTCACCGGTTACACCGGGTCAGCTGCCGGGTTCAGTTACAGGGTTCAGTCAACTACCGGATCCAGTTCATCACCGGGTCAACTAGACCGGCATCGAATCCAGTTGCTAGTTGCTTTGTAGCTGAGAAGATGCGCTCCATTCTGGCTTTATACATTTTTCCAGAATCAGACAGAATTCACCCTGTGGAGACGGGTTACTTTGTGATAGTAGGTGATTGTCTGAACAGAGTTCTAAGCAAACTATCGCTTTTTAACAATGAGCAGTATCTGGTTGAAATGGTTCACTTTTAGAGTAGGTCCAAGATTCGAGTGTTAGCGAATTCTTTTTGCGCTTCGATCGACTGCTTCGTAAAAAACCTCGATAGACTCCTGTACCCAATCCAAAAGTTCGACTGCGCCAGTTAGTACCAAAACCAATTTCTCCCTCCTACTTCTATCCTGCTGGCATATATGTCACAAGTTGGCAAGCAGCACTGTTGTCGTGCAAAAGATACAGAGTTCGACTCCGCTAATGAGACACCCAGTCATTGTGCAAACCGTTCAATCGTTTCGATGATAAATTGGTAACTGGCATGTGTCAAGCAGTCAAATCTGCCATCAGCTTGCTTCTAAACATCGACAGTCTTGCCAGCGAATCGTTACTGTTAACAACTGCTACCACTCGGGCTATTTCCAGAATGTCCATGCCTCTCATAAAAAACGAACACGGATGGGGCTTTTCACATACTTTTTTTTTAAATTAGTTCAACTGCTAATCGATGACTACTTTTCTAATGTATCCTAATGCATCACTTGCACCGCTGTCGCTTTCCTCGCTGACCGGGCTTTCAGATGATGCTTTCAGACCCTTCTCTTTTAGTGACTCCCGGCATCTCTGGATCTCTTCCAGGATTCGTTTTTGCAATACACACATCGCTTTAGCAGTTCCATCACGTTTATGTACCTCCAGTACAATTTCTTCGCGAAAAATACTTATGTGATATACACAGCGCTGTGTTCGCCCGCGTAAAGTTGGGTCCATTCGAAAGATGTTCATCCTTTGGATTGATTCTTCTTGCCTCTTGGCAGCGTTTTCAGCTATCGCTTCAAAAGTATGCAGGTCAGCGCCCACTGCTGACACTTCTGCAGAGATCTGTGCAAGCAGAGCGGCCAGTTTTGTGTTGAGTGACGAGAGTGATGGTGCTCGGCGTTGTGTTAATTTCTTGTAGCATACATTTGCCAATTTGGCCAACTTTTTGTTCTCTGCTATCCTCACTAGCATCACCGCTAATTCCTGGTTCAACAGGAATTTCATGTTATTGTACTCGGCTTTCTTCATCCATGTAATATGCAAATGCATGTCGAGAATGCTGCCCAGCATGGGAGTTATGTC